AGGACTCTGGCAAGAATCTGGCTGGCAATGACTAAAAGAGAAACCTCCCTGTGATTGTCATAGAACAGTCTGTTTCCCTTTCCTTTACAGAAATGTAAAATGGTGGCATCCTTGAATTCCTGGGGTTTAACCTCTTTTTGTCATATAACCCAGTCAGCTTTTGTATGAGCAATGGACCCCAACTTTGTAAATCTTGTTGTAAATAGAATCAACAATAGGCACTTTGCCACATGAGAGGAGCCTAATAAGATTTAAAACCTCTTCTTCAGTTGGAAGTTTGGATAAAGAGGGACTGACTTCAACCTGAGGCATATGGTCAATGGCTTCAGCATTGGTTGATGACAGTCTGTTGAAATTATAGAAGTGTTTAGCCCATTTCAATTATGTTCTTATCACTGATCAATGTGGCTACATCAGTGCTGAGTAGTTGAGATGCACCATAGGTCTTTAGCCTATAAATAGCTTTTGCAGTATCATAAAATCACTTTGAATTGTTACTATCTGCATAAAACTGAATTTCATCTGCCTTCTTAGTGAGCCAAGAATCCTGCATCTCTGTAAGCTTCACTTACACTTTACTTCTGATGGAGTTAAATGCTGCCTTCTTAGAGATGGATGAATTAATCCTACTGGTAAACCCTGTGGAGTTCTCATTTTTCATTTAGTAGCTTCTGAATTTCCCTATCATTTTCATCAAAACAGCCCTGATGTTTGTGAGTGTTCTGACCCAGATGAGTAAATGTGGTGCTATATACCAAATCTCCGAAAGCTGCCCACACCTTTTCTGCTTCACTGTTGCCAACTGTGTGTTGGCTCAGCTGTCCCTCCAAGTCAGTAACAAGCTGTTCAGGCATGGAGAAGTGCTCTAATCTGTTGACATTAAGTTTTCTTGCAGTTGTCTTGCCTTGGGCCACTGCTTTTGTTGAATGCAAATGTTTAGCTTGGAGAGGATAAGTCTAAGATTGATCCAGCATGCTGTGCCACACCTTGCCTTCATCACTCTCACATCCTGTCTGTCTCTTCTCTTTACGGTAACATGGTCTATTAAATGCCAACGTTTGCTGTGAGGGTACATCTGTGAAGTTTTGTTGCATTTAGGCAAACAGAAGACAGTGCTGGTGATGAGGTCATGAGACAAACAAATCTTCAGTAGTAAGTGACTGTTGCTGTTTCTGACTCCATTCCTTTCAAGGACTCTCTGCCATGCCTGATAGTTTGTGCCTACTTTAGCATTAAAGTCACCTAGAATTACAAGCTTGTTCTCTTTTGACACATTGATGATGAATATCTCAAAGTCTTTGTAACAGTTTTCTTTGACCTCATCAGGGTTTGTCATGGTGGGGGCATAGGCATTGATGATGGTGGTGTGGTGTTTTCTTGCAAGTGGCAATCACATTGTTATGATCCTATCATTCACTCCATTTGGTAGGTATACAAGCTTGTTGACTAGATTAGTTTTGATTGAAAGACCTATGCCAGCCTCACTGTGCTCCCCATCACTGTGGACACTCCCCCCCAAAAATGCATCCAGTTCCAACTTTGGTAATCTATTTGGTTCCAAATAGATTTGCCAGCTTTGTTTCACTTAGGGCTGCTATTTGAATGTGATACCTGTTAAGTTCTCTCACAACAAGAACTGTTCATCTTTCAGGTCCACTGGATTTTGTGTTGTCCGTAAGTGTATGTACATTCCATGTACCAATGGTGAATGAAATCATCTTCACAAAAGTTTTTGTACATTTTCTTTGTGTTTTGACTGCAGTGTAAGATCTCTGCCTGCCAATGTAAGCAGGCCAGGGTTGGGTTAGATAAAGCAGACAATTTTTTAGGGCCTTTTCTAGCCCCCTCCTCAGGCCAGGAGGTGAGCAATGTGGTCCTTAAGGAACGCTGTTCAAAGATGCTTGTCTTTTCAATGAGGGTAGACACCAGGAGGGAGGAAGGGAGAAAATTTGTAACCCAAAGTTTTAAAAACACATGCTAAAATTAAAAATAAATAAATAACAAGAAAGAAGGCTGCTCAGAGAAGAAATGGGAAGAGAAATTCTATTTAAAATAATTGTAACAGTATAAAATACTTGGGAGGCTACCTGCCAAAACAAACCCAGGAACTGTATGAACACAATTACAAAACTTTTTACACAAATAAAGTCAGATCTAAACAACTGGGAAAATATCAATTGCTCATGGGTAGGCCAAGTCAATATAGTAAAAATGAAAATTCTACCTAAATTAATTTACTTATTCAGTGCCATACCAATCAAACTACCAAAGAGTTATTTTATAGAGCTGCAAAAAATAATAACAAAGTTCATCTAGAAGAACAAAAGGTCAAGAATATCAAGGGAATCAATGAAAAAAATGTGAAGGAAGATGGCTTAGCTGTACCAGATTTCAAACTGTATTATAAAGCAGTAGTCATCAAAATAGTCTGGTACTGGCTAAGAAATAAGAGTGGTGGATCAGTGGAATAGACTGGGTGCACCAGACACAGTAACAAATGGCTATAGTAATCTAATGTTTGATAAACTTATAGACCCAAGCTTTTGGGACAGGAACTCGCTATTTGACAAAAGTGCTGGGAAAATGAGAAAACAATAGAAACTAGTTATAGACCAAGATCTTACATCATATACCAAGATAAAGTCAAAATGGGTACATGTTTTATACATAAAGTGTGATACCATAAGCTGGGGTGGGGAACCTGTGGTTTCAATGCAAGTGGGTAGCAGGTGGACACCAAAGGTGGAAAGCAGCCCTGAAAAGGGTTCAACAACTCTCACACCAGAGACATTATTCTTCCTTGAATACGCAAATACTGGAAACTAGTAGCATTCTCAATAAGATCAGGGGTGAAGCAAGATGCCCATTATTACCATTATTATTCAATATTGTATTAAAAATCTGGCTCTAGCAATGAGAATAAATAAAAGAAGAACAAGAAAGAGAAAGAATTAGAATAGTCAGTGAAGAAACAAAACTATCACTCTTTGCAGATGATGTGATGATATACTTAAAGAGTCCTAGAGAATCAATTAAAAACTAGTTGAAATGATTAACAACTTCAGCCAAATAACATAAACCCACACAAATCATCAGCACTTCTATTACCAACAAAGTCCAGCAGCAAGGGCTAGAAAGAGAAATTCCACTTAAAATAACTGTGGACAACATAAAATACTTGGGAGTCTACCTGTCAAGGCAATTTCAGGAACTATATGCACACTATTACAAAACACTTTTCACACAAATAACTATGTCCAAAAGACTATAAAACCGTGCATACCCTTTTATCCAGCAATACCATTACGAGGCCTGTATCCCAAAGAGATTAAAAAAGGAAAGGATTTATATGTATGAAAATATTTATAGCAGCTCTTTTTGTGGTGACAAAGAATTTGAATTTGAGTGGATGCCCATCAGTTGGGGAATGGTTGAAAAAGTTATGGTATATGACTGTGATGGAATGAAATAGTGCTATAGGAAATGATGGGCAGGTGGATTTCAGAAAAACCTGAAAAGACTTATATGAACTGATGCAAAGTGAAGTGAGCAGCACCAGGAGAACATTATACACCATAACAGCAATATTGCACAATGATCAACTGTGAATGACTCAGCTATGCTCAGCAATACAATGATTTAAGACAATTTCAAAGGACTCATGGTGAAACATGTTGTCTACCTCCAGAGAAAGAACTGATAGAGTATGAATGCAGATTGAAGCATCCTTTTTTTTTTTTTTTTTACTTTTTAAATTTTTCTTTTTTTTTTTTGGTCTATGTTTCCTTCACAACATGACTAATACGGAACTATGTTTTACGTGATTGCACATGTATAACCTATAGCAAATTGCTTGCCTTCTCAATGAAGGGGGAGGGGAGAGAGGGAGGGAATTTGGAACTCAAAATTTGAAAAAATGAATGTTAAATACTTTTACATGTAATTGGAAAAAAAACAATATATTTTAAAAATATAAAATAAATGATGGGGTGGGGGTGTTTCAGAAAAAAATGAGCAAGACCTATATGAGCTGATGCAAAGTACAGTGAGAAGAACTGGGAGATCATTGTACACAGTACGAGTAATATTGTAATGATCAGCTGTGAAAGATGTGGCTACTCTGATCCAAGACAGTTACAAGGGACTTGTAATGAAAAAGTGTTGTCAACCTCAAGAGAGAGAACTGATGAATTCTGAGTGCAAACTGAAGAATAATTTTTCTTGCTTTTTTTCCTTTTTTTTTGGTCATATGGCTAATATGGAAATATGTGTTGCATGATTTAACCTGTATAATTGATATCGTATTATTTGCCTTCTCAGTGGGTGGGGGAGAGATGGGAGGAAAGAGAGAATATGGAACCCAAAATTTAATTAGAGAAGAATGTTAAAAATAAATAATAAATGTTAAAATAACAAATTAAAAGAATTGTCACATAAGCAAAATAAAACAAAACAAAAACAAGTACCCAAGAGAGAGGAGCTATAGAATCCAAAAGAAGGGGGCTGTTTAACTTGAAGGTGGTGGTAGCAGAGAGGGTCATATAACCTGATAGGGGCATGGAAACTTGAAGACAGTGGGGACGGCACTGTATAATCTGATAGGAAGAGCAGTCTCCCAGGGGCAGGTGATGAATGGGGAGAAGGTCATGTAATATGAAAAAAATAGAGGTTATATAATGTAGGAGGGGTGCAATGTGACCTGCGGGCAGGGGGCAAATCCTTATAACTTGGGAGGTGAAGTCCTTATAACCTGAAGAAATAAGAATGGAGGTGGAGATGGAGAAGAAGGGTTGAGGCTTTGAACAGGGGTTCTGGGATGGAGACAAGAGTAGCTTGGGGACTAAGAATAAAGAACCTTGAGATAGGGAAAGACATATGTTTCAGGACTGTGGTGATGGTTTTGGGGAACAGGTTTGGGCACCTAGATGAGGGCTTCTGGGATGAGGAATGGATACTGGGCTTGGGAGTGTTGAGGGAGGTTTTGTGGAAGCAGTTATTACGTTTCTTCACTATCTTCTTTCCTCTGGCATTTTGATTGCTTGCTTGGGTGTGATCATCACTGATGCCTTCTTCATACTGTTCCTCATGTTCTTTAGCTGTGGGTTTTTCTCTTATGGTTTTTGGGGATTTGTCTGGAAGGAAGCAACCTGCAGAGAGTGGATTCTCCACCGGGCTCTTGAGATCTTCTGCACTCTGGACCTCTTCTTCCTTTTCATTGGTCTGGGCCTCAAAAGTAGAAGATCTACTTAACATCTCTGCATTGAGAGCTGAAGTGGTGGGTTCTTCAAAGAAGATGGATTCTTCAAGATTGAGGACCTCCTCAGAAATGGGGGTTACCATAGAGGCGGGAAACTCAGGAGCAGAAGCCTCATGATTGGTAATATAAGATTCCTTGTGACTTGTCTTATCAACGTCCATCTGTTGGTAGGAAAGGGAACATGGTTTATTAGGGTAGAATCTGGAGACTCAGAGTCAGAAGTGATACCAGGGATGTAAGGAGATGAGGGTTAAGAACAGAGAATGAGAAGCAGGAGGAGTATAAAAGATGGGGGGTGGGTAGGGGTGGTTCAGGGAGGTAGGCAGCTCTAGTTCTAGGGTAAGGTCACTAGGAAGTCCAAGTGCTCTCTGGGTATGAAAAAGTAATACAACTAAGTACTCTGGGGAGCAAAGAGGAAAAGTAAGGCATGGTTAGTAAGGCATTGTCACTGGTGGGATATGGGAAACATAAGGTTGTGAATACAGGATAAAGATCTCACACCAGTAGAGTTGTGGGAGGAGGGGAGGGTTGGGATGGGTTGGAAGACAGACAAAGTGTTGAAGAAGATGAGTGACCAATAGGTAAGATAAGTAGAGATATGAAGAGTCTGTGAAGCCTATGATTTAGCCAATAAGCATAAAGAGCAAACAATCAGGCACAAATAGTGGCCCAAAATCCAAGGCTGGGAAGTTGCTGCTAGGGAAAAGGATAGAAGTGCAGGAAAAGGTATTGTCAAGGACATGGTCATTAAATCAGCTTTGGACTAGAGCTAATTTCCGGCATCTTAGGCCACACCTACCTGAAGTGAGACTGAAATATAGTAACTATAGCCATATGGGCAAGGATGCAAATACCCTTGTCTGAGTATCCAAGGATAAAGGCATTGCCCTAAGAGAGAAGGCTTAACAGTCATGAAAGGTAAGCTTTTCTTTGGGGGAAGGAAATGGTCTATTTAGGTGTTTGGAGGTTCATGTTATAGGGGAAGGATCAGGGTAATGAGAAGCTGAGCTATGGAAATGGGAAGGAAATAAAGGATGTGGGAGGGAATGTTTACTCTTTGGGGGAATTGCATTTATGTAGCTTTGTTGTATCATGTACTATAAACATAAAATTAAGACTAGCTGGATATAAAAGAAAATAAAAAGTTTAGAGTCTGGTCTAGCCTAGCAATCATTTGAGTCAAGGTGGCCTAGTGGACTGAAGGCAGGCCTTGGAATTAGGAAAAACCTTGGTTCAAATCCTGCTTCTGACACCTACTGGCTGTGTGATCATCAGTAAATTACTTAAACTCTCAGTGCCCCAGTGCAAGGTTGTGGCTTGCTCACGCAATCTGAAGATGAATTGCTCATCTACGTCGGCAAAGAAAGGTCTTACAACAATGAGATCACAGGTCTGGACACATACACATACACACACAAAAGAACCATATAAATGGAAAGAAGTGAAAGAAAAATAACAACAGAGGTAAAAAAAATCATAACATTATAATATTAAATGTGAATGGGATAACATCCTCTTTTAGACGGACTAGATTAAAAGAACAAAATCAAAACCCTATCCCCTGAGAGTGACACACTTAAAACCAAGAGATATAAGCATAACAAAAGTGAAAGAAGTGTTTCTTGGAGATATACAAAGAGGGGATACTTATAGGCTTGAAATATATTGACAGAATCCATAAATACAAGTCGGGGGAACCTGGGTCATGTTATAATTCTGGCAAGTTAGAGAAATTTTCAAGCAAATCAGAGAAAATGAAGCCCATTTTTGTACCCCCCCATCCCCATCTATAGCAAATACATTTTTGGAGTATATGAGGAATTTCTTCTTATCATAAGAAGTCTATAAAAGGTTTTTCTTCTTATAAGCCTAGTAATGAATCTCTGGGGCAAAAGGTATGGGTATTTTAGTCACTTTATCTGCACAGTTACAAAATGATTTCCAAAATGGTTGTACTGATTCATAGTTCCACCCCCGCCAATGCACCACTGTGTTTGTCTTCCCATAACAACCCATTTCCCCCTCTCCTCCACTCCTGCAAACATTGACTAGTTTTATTTTGATATCTCTGTCAATTTGCAAGGTATGAGGTGAAACCTCAGGGTTTATTTTAGTTTGCATCTCTTATTAGCAATGATTTGGAGAATTCTTCCACATGATTATTGATAGTTCGTAACTCTTCTTTTGAGAACTGTTCATAACCTTGACCACTTAATTATTAGGGAATGGCTTTTGATTCTATCTATCTATGTATCTATTAATTATTTATATATCTTGGATACCAAAACCCTTATCCTAGATATGTTTAATTTTGTTTGTGCAGAAGCTTTCCGTTTCACATAATCAAAATTATTGATTTTATATTTTGTAATTGCCTCTATCTCTTGTTTGGTTAAGAAAACATCTTCTACCCGTGGCTGTGAGAGGCGTGTGATCTGCTTCTGTTTTAATTTTTTTTTATAGTGTGATCTTTAATATTAAGGTCACATATCCATTTAGAATGCGTTGTGGAATAGAGTGTAATGGGCTGGGTCTAAGCCTAATTCTGCCAGACTGCTTTATAGTTTTCCTAGCAGTTTTTAATCAAATAGGGAATTCTTTTTTTTTTTTTATAAATTAGTGAGTTTTAAAAAAATATCAACCAGGGAGTTCTCTCCTAAGTAATTAATGTTTTCCAGTATATTGAACACCCAGACATTGAGTTCCACTTTTTATTATTCTCCCTTGACTAGTCTGTTTCTTTGACCTACTTCTCTATTTTTTAACCATTACCAGAAAGTTTTGATGGCTGCTGCTTTATAATACAGTTTGAGTATTATAAGAGTGCTATTCTCTCTTTGTCTATATCTCTTTTCATTATTTCCCTTGATATTTTAGAACTTTTATTTTTCCAAATGAACATTTTTTTTATCAAGTTCTATAAAGTATCCCTTTGACAATCTAACTGGATTGTATAACATTAGAAGTATACATTAACTTTGGTAATATTGTCATGGCACAGCCCAGTCATGAGCACTGAATATTTCTCCAGCTATTCAAGTTGTTCTTCCTTCCTTCCTTCCTTCTTCCTTCTTTCCTTCCTTCCTTCCTTCCTTCCTTCCTTCCTTCCTTCTCCTCCCTCCCTCCCTCCTCTCCTCTCCTCCCTCCCTCTCCTCCCTCCCTCTCCCTCCCTCCCCTCTTCTTTCTTTCTTTCTTTCTTTCTTTTTTCTTTCTTTTTCTTCTTCTTTCTTCTTTCTTTCTTTCTTTCTTTCTTTCTTTCTTTCTTTCTTTCTTTCTTTCTTTCTTTCTTTCTTTCTTTCTTTCTTTCTTTCTTTCGCAATGGGGTTAAGTGACTTGCCCAAGGTCACACAGATAGTAAGTGTCAAGTGTCTGATGCCAGATTTGAACTCAGGTCCTCCTGACTTCAGGGCCGGTGCTCTATCCAATGCTCCACCTAGCTGCCCCCTGGTTTTTTATTTCTTTAAGGACAACTTTGTAATTGGGTATTTTGGATATGTAATTTTGTGAGTGGCAGTGTGGCACTGTGAATGGAAGGATGGCTTTGGATAGAAACTGGTTTGGGTTCAAGTCCTGCCTCTTGAGCTAGCTGCTTAACCTCTCAGTGCCCCAGGCAACTTTGTAAGACTATATTTTAGAGAAGGTATGATATGTATTGCTAGAGGGAATTGCTATAAGTAGTTCCTTATAGGTCTGGTCCATTTAATTTCATATTTTAGAGAGAAAATATAGCTAACATTGATTTTTTAAAATAGAACTCCCATCACATAGCATGGAACAGTTTCAGAAATTCTGAGTTTGGGGATGAATGGCTCCAAAAGCTATCTTACTTGAATAAGTATAATAAATGTACGAGGGACCAGCCTGGAATTAGCTGCTGTGCCACCTAGTTGCCCTAGTAAAAGATAACAATTAAAAGCTAAGAGTACTAGACAATAAGCATTTTTACTAAGCACCTACTGGGCAGCTAGGTGGTACAGTGGATAGAGTGCCAGCGCCCGAAGTCAGGAAGACTCATCTTCGTGATTTCAAATCTGGCCTCAGACACTTACTAACTGTGTGACCTTGGGCAAGTCACTTAATTCTGTTTGCCCTCGTTTCTTCATCTGTTAAATGAGTTAGAGAAGGAAATGGCCAACCACTTCAGTATCTTTGGTAAGAAAACCCCACATGGGGTCACACATGACCAAAAACAACTGAACAACAACAACAAAGCACCTGCTAAATGCCAGGCACTGTGCCAAATGCTAGAGAGAAAAAGAAAGGCCAAAAACTAGTCCTTGCTCCTAAAGGAGTTCTCAGTCTAATGGAGGAGAAAACATGGAAACAAACATACGAAAACAAGCTATACTCAAGATAAATTGGAGAATATCAATAAAGGGAAGAAGACATTAGTGTTAAGGGGGATCAGGAAAGGCTTCTTATAAAAGATGGAGTTTTAGTTGGGATTTGAAGGAAGCTAGGGGATGGGGATGAGGGAGAGTATTCCAGGCATGGGGTCAGCCAAGGAAAATGCCCAGAATCTGGAGATGGAGTGTGTTGTGGGAGAAAAATCAAGGAGGCCATTGTTACTAGATCTCAGAATACAGGGCTGGGAGTAAAGCGTAAGAAAAACTAGAAAGGTAGGAGGAGCCAGGCTATGAAGGGCTTTGAATGCCAAACAAAAGATTTATTTTTTGATCCTGGAAGTAATAGGGAGCCACTGGAGTTTATTGAATAGGGAGTTGACATGGTTGTATCTGAACATTAGGGGGCATTAATTTGACAGCTGAGTGGAATGTGGAATGGGAGTGAGGAGAGACTTCAGGCAGGGGGGCCAATCAGCAGGCTATTGCAATAGTCTAGGTATACAATGATGAGGGCCTACACGAGGGTGGTATCAGTGTCAGAAGAGAGCAGGGGGTGTATTCAAGCAGTGTTATGAAGATGTAAAATCAACAGGGCCTGGCAACGAATTGGCTATGGGGGGTAAGAGTGAAGAGTTGAGGATGACCCCTAGGTTGTAAGCTTGGATGACTGAGAAGACGTGGTGCCCTTAACAGTAATTAGGAAAGTTCAGAAGGGGGTATTCATTCCAAACAAAATAGCAGCAAAATTAAAGAGGCAGACTGTTGTAGTGCAAAGAACACTGAATTTGGAGTTAGAGGACCTGGGGTCAAAATCTAATGCAGCCATTTCTTGTATGACCTTGATAAATCACTTAACCTTTCTGGGCCTCAGTTTCCTCATCTGTAAAATATTGGATGTTGGACTTGATTGGAGTAGGGGGGCACATGAACTTGGTCAAGAAAGGTGTCAGCAGTAGAATGTCAGAAATGGATGAGGTACATGGATATGAACAAATTTCTAGGTCTGAGCCTCTAGTTAGAAGCCCTTCTAGTCGACTAATTATAGTTGTTTCCTTCACCAGACCTAGGTATTCAGAATGGCTCAGACCTAGACTTCTCTGTGATACATATAAATCAGAGAGGGGTCTGCACTGGGTGTGAAGCTTTACATTCTACTTAGCAGGGTAGCAAAGGAAGCATGGGCTGTACCTTGAGGATGTTGTGGAGCTAAACCTTACAGGCCAAAGGAATGATGCTAATGATCCAAGGAAATGGTCATTTAGTCTTTTGGAGTTCTGGGTGTTTTTTTTTTAAATTACATAATTTTTCAATTAACAAGCATTTACTTCCTCTCTCACTCACTTCCTCCCCTTCCTCCATGGAAATAAACAACAACAAGACCTTTGTAACAAACATGCAGCATGGTCAAACAAAACAAATTCTCAAATTACCAGTGTCCAAAAAAATGAGTGTCTTATTCTGTACCCTGAATCTATTGCCTCTCTGTCAGGAAGGAGGTGAATAGCATGCTTCATTGTCAGTCTTCTGGAATCATAGTTGATCATTGCATTGATCAGAGTTTTTAAGTCTTTAAGGTTTTTTTTTGGTACAATGTTGTTATTATAGTATAAATTTTTCTCCTGGTTCTGCTGACTTCACTCTGCATCAGTTCATACAAATCTTCCCAGGTTTTTGTGAAACCATACCCTTTCTCATTTCTTACAGAATAATAGTGTGCTGGGTGCTTTTAAAATACCAGGTAGTCAATACTTGGCTCCCAACCAGCAACAGTTTTCCTTGGCTTTGTTGTTTATGTAATTTTGTGGTTGGCTGTAGGAGCACTTGAGTGTTGACTCAGTTGGCTTGGAACTCTGTTACAATGAGATTTATATCTTTTATAACCAGGATAGCAGTGAAGGGAATAAGTGTCAGGAAATAATGTGGGGAGAAACAATAGCTTGAATGAAAATGTGATTTGCATGGAGCAATACACAACTCTGAGCAGTGAGAGGGTAATAAGGCCGGATTTTCTTGGTAGGTGGCAAAACACTCGAGGTACTGTGATTGTGCATGGTTTGGTGTTTTGTTTGTAGAGAATATCTATACTTTGATCTTGAAGGTGGAGAAGAAGTTCTGCCCAAAGTATAAAATGAATTGAAGTCCATCTTCAGAAATTATTTGGCTGGGGAGCCCATAGAGTTGGGTTTTGGTGGTGAAACCATACATCAATGGAGTGTCTGGCTTCCAAGATCCAAATACAGGTTTGAGTTTCAGCAACGATTTCTCATAGGTAATATATTTTATATTTGTGTGGTGAAGTAGGTATATGGTTATAAATATGCTTTTCCCTTGTTAGACTGGGATAAGACCATACCTCTCATTATGTTGGAAGCATTAGTAAAAGGCCATTGTAGACCCAAGGTTGATGTTCTATTAGATTTTTACCTCAAGATAACAAAGATTTGATGGTCTTCAGAGGGACCATTAGAAAATATTATTCTTTTGCAGTAGGTTACTGAGGTGGAATGGTTAAGCAAAATCTACTTGTAATATGAAAAGACAAGTAGCACTCTGCAAATCTCAGGAAATATCAAATATCCTTGAAAGGTCACAAAATATATCCGTTTTGGGTTACATTGACCTTATATGGGTCCTTTTGGATACTGCTAAAAGATGATATACTCCAAGATATAATAATTCAATTCAATACAATGCACATATTAAGCAGCTACTGTGTGTTAAACCCTAGGTAAGATATAAGGTTTAAGTAAAACATAGTCCCTGCCCTCCTGGAGCTTATAGCTGGTAAGGTGGATAAGACCCTCATGCAAATAACTATAGTACAAATAAATGGATAAATACATCAGGAAGGTGCCAAGTGAGTTCCAAGTGGGAAGGTTATTACCAAAGGAGGGGGAGGGTGGAGAAGTGAAGCAGAAAAGACTTCTTGGAGGAGGTATCATTTGAATTTGGTTTAAAGGTTGGTAAGAATTTATCGGGGGCAGCTAGGTGGCATAGTGGATAGAGCACTGGCCCTGGAGTCAGGGGGACCTGAGTTCAAATCTGGCTTCAGACACTTGACACTAGCTGTGGGACACTGGGCAAGTCACTTAACCCCATTGCCTAGCCCCCCCTCAAAAGAAAAAAGAATTTATCAAATGGGAAGAGGGTTAAGGAAGAAAAGGGAGAGAGCATTCTAGGCATAGGGAACAGTGTGGGCAAAAACAGAGTCAGGAAAGCATAGGAAGTCTAAGAGAATAGTTCAGCAGTGCTACTTAGAAAGATATCATTCTCCTCTGTCTCCTTTTCTATGAATACTTTGTGTGTGTATGCTTGTATTTTTGTAACATCAAAAAATTTCCTATAGAAAGGAATTTTCTGGTAGACGACATGGGTTTTTTTGGGAGGGGGACTAGGAATTTCCCAAAATAATCAAGTTATATTTTAACCTTTTGCATTTGATATACACCTCTGTTTTCAAGGAGAAATCTCTGCATGTGCATATGTGATTTACTGGGTCTAATAAATGCTATTGTCATGATTGAAAGATCTTTGGGTTTCCACAGCAAAGAGTATTCTGGGAAGCAGAATCCATTTGAATCCTTTTTTTTTTTTTTGCTGGTCTGGGAGACAAATGAGCAGAAATGAATGAGGAACATGATAGACAAGGATGAAGGGAGGTCAGAAGGGCAGAAAAGGAGATGAATGTGTTGAAAATGGGGATATGAGAAAGGAGATGTAATTGGAAAGAATGGCAGGAGAATGAGGAAGTAATACATAAAGGGACAATGGGGGATATGAAGAGTGGAAGTGATGGGAGATATGTTAAGGGGTTATATGATGAGCAGGGAGGAGATAGAATCCTTGATCGAGTAAATAGTGGGGCAAAGATAGAGGGTGATGGAAAGAAAAGGAAGAACATAATTTGGGGAGGATGGGGGAGAAAGGAAGGCATTTTGGGGAGAACAACACATAATTTAGGACATGATGGAAGGATGAGGGATATAATACAGGGAGGAAGGGGAAGAGAAGAATGGAAGTTTTATACCTTTAGTTTACTTGTAACAGCTGGTCCTTAGATGCACTCCTGGAACTTTGGGAAGAGAAAACTTGGGTGATGATCATAAAAGGCAAGCTGGAGGCTGGGTAGTGAAAGGCAAGAGCCCTTAACAAAAAGTCTAGCATTTGGGGTGAGGGAATTAGGGAAAACTCTGGGAATAAGGGAAGATGATTCTAGGAGTAGATCTGGGATCTGGGGAAAGGTTTTTGTTGGAGAGGGGTAGGTCTAAGAGAGGAGAGAAAGGCCCAACTTGTGGGGCCAGCATTAAGGATAGAGGCACTCTAGAGGAGGTATAGGTAGAGAATGGGGGTAGGGAGTTGGGAAAGGGAAGACAGGTCTTTGGAAGTAAGTTGGGAGAGGAGAGGGACTAAAGATTTCCTATAAGATCAGAGGGGTAGGGGTTTATATAGAAGCTTCCAGACCAGTAATTGAGGGATTCATTCCCCTGGCAACTAGAACCCTTACTCCATAGCAACAACAATTCCAATTGTTAGGGGGCTGGTTTCTGAGGGGGTAGCAGGACCTGACAGAATGGGGATGCTGGGAAGTATACGGAAGGGGGTGCTACCAGTAAGGACAATGGTAGAACTGGCAGTGGAGGCCGGAGGCAGGGAGAGGGGTGGAGGCTAGAAGATGAGGTGTTAAGAGTGAGGACATTGAGAGGGGCTGGCAGAAGGCATATAGGAGGATGGGACTGTCAGTGGGGACTTTGAGGAGGCTAACAGAGAGGGTGTTGGAGGTGAGGTCTTGAGGGAGAGGGTCAGTAGAGAGGGTGGGGAAGGGCTAGCAGAGGGCTTGCAATGCTGGAAGAGGAGATCTAGAAATGCGAGCTGCGAGAGGGTAAGGTATGAAGTTAGGTTTTCCTTGAGGCGGGGAATATTTCTTCCCAGAGGGTTGTCATTACAAGGAGGGGAAGCAGTCTCATTGGTAGAGGTAGGGGTCAGATTCCATGGAACGCCCCTGGAACGTCCTTCCAGTGTGGGGGAGGCAAAGAGGGGCGGGCAAGGAGATGAGGTTCTGTCTCAGGAGCCGGAGGGCAGTACCTGTATGGGGCCAATGGGGCCAGTCAAACTGACCCTGAGTATGACCAATGGGATCGGACAAGGGGGTGGGTTTTATCCTACAAGGCCTATAGAGCCAGTGGAAGGCGGGGCGTCAGAATGACGTTGAGTGGAGGGCCGCTGCTTGGCCTGGTCTTGCAGCTCAGAGCCGCCCCCGCCCCCGCCGCCGCCCCTGGCGCGGCCCAGGGACCCCAGGCCCTGGAAGCCGCAGCCAAACGCGAGGGGGCCGCCACCTCCTTTCCATCCCCCCACCTCCCACCTCCTCATCCAGGGAGCCCAGTACCAGGCTCTAGACTCCTGTGCTTACCCACTCATTTCAGGACCCTCACCCCCGCCCCCCTCCCATTCCAGGACTACCTCTTTCTCCTCCCATCACTGGAGTCCCCTTTCCTCCGCCCCTTTCACTTCGCCTCATCTCCCCTCACATCCTGGAAACACGCCTAAATCCTTGCTCCATCTCATCTTTCTCATTATGGAGCAGAACAGCGGCCTTTTCCCACTTCAGCACCAAGAACAGCCCCTCTTCCTGCCTTTTTCTCATCAGCTCTCCCAGTCGCAGCCCCTCTACTTGTCTCTCTCCCAGCAGGACTCCCTTCCCCTTTCCCAGCCTCTCTCTCAGCCCCAGCCCCTTTCTCAGCCCCAGCCTCTTTCCTTGCCTATTCCCCAGCCTCTGTCGCTACCTTTGAACCAGCCCCTGTTTCTCTCTCAGCCTCTTTCACAGCCTTTGCCCCTCTCTCAGTCTTTGTCTGTTTCCAAGCCCTTATCCCTTTCCAAACCTCTACCCCTCTCCCAATTTCTGTCCCTTCCCCTCTCCCAGGCGCTGCCTCTCTCCCAGCCTCTGTCCCCGTCCCTCTCCCAGCCTTGGCTCTGGTCTGGGCTCCAACTGCCACCTTCACTGTTCTTGCTGCTGCTGCTGCTCTTTGTGCTGTGCCCAGGGGCTGGTGAGTGCAGAAGCAGAGAGACATTGGAGGCTAGAAGGGGGTTTGTCCTGGAAGAAGCAAAGCAAGGAGAAAGGGGAGGGAAGGAAGAGTGAGAGAGGAAGGGGAGGGATGAAGGAGGGAATGAGCTGGGTATGAAATGGGGAAATCAGATTGGGAAAGAGATATTGAAAAGACAGGAAACTCCTGGGGGCAGAGGGCTGTAAAAGTGGGGGCTACAGGGTGAGGGATGTGGGAGACAGTGCGAGGGGCAAAGGCTTTCTGTATATTGTGTTTTCCCCCATCCGTCATTCCTGTTGCTTGTTTTCTCAAATAGGAGTTATCATCACTGGGGATAGGGGTGAGAGGAGAAGATGCCATTAAGTAGTTACTCGATTTTGCCATTAAAGTCTGATGAGGGAAGCCATAGCCTTTGTCCTTGGGAAGCCTCCAGTCTGATGCTTGAGACAGGAAACACATAACATAGGTTTAAGAGAGTACCTTCCAAGAAACATGTTTTAAATGTAAAGAGACACAGGACAAATCCTATTATAATTGACTTTGAGGGAATGTTCAAATTCTTTATCTGTACTGTATCTTTTCTTTATAAAATAATATTGCTCAAAGTAAGTTGAATGTTTCAGATAATTGCAAAAAAATTTAGTATTTCCATCAGCTGAATGCATTTCTAATTTCCTTTAGAATCAGAAGATTTTGAAGTTGGAAGGAACCTTACAGATAATCTAGTTTAACACCCTTAATTTAGAGATCAGCTTGCTGAAGTCCTAGGTAGATTAAATGACTTGACTGAACACAAGTGAATTAGTGGAAGGGCTGGAACAAGAACACAGGTCTTCCAATTCCTAGTGCAGTGGTCTTTTATAAGTACACCATATTGTCTCCAACAGCGGTTCTCTGTCTGAGACACAGACTAAGGCAAAAGCAGTGAAAAGGGCCAATTTCTAACCATTAGACCACCAGGAATCATGTGCACACCATGTCTCTGCATGAGATGCTCCTTTGGAAAAAACATCCCTCTTGTGCCTTCTGCTTGTGCTCTGGGTCCAATCAGGTTGCAGTATAAGACTTATATGGAAGGTGACTGGACATGGTGAGGCAGGATAGGGTCTGGAGCTACAAGTCCCAGGTAAGAGATAAGAGATCTTATACTGTACTTGCTGGTACTGCTTCGATAGCTATCATAACCCTTCTCTGTTGGTGGGATATACTTAAAGAGTATCGAGAAATATTCAGGGAATTGGGGTAAGAAGTCTTCGTCAGGGAAGCCAGAAGAAATGCAAAAAATATACAATTCTACCCTTGTGACTCATCTAAAAGACAGGAAAGAACAATGGACCCAGAGAAAGACTCCTAGGACATGTTTGTTCTAGCACTATGGCTGTGGGAAAGAATAATAATAATACACTACTTTGAGGGAAAAAATATTGTAAACCTTGAAGTGTATATAAATGAGTTATTATTTTTGGAAATGAGAGTTACTATTTTTTGTCCTTAAAATTATAAAAGTGCACTTTCTTTTCTCCATTTATTTTCATTCATATTTTTACTATTATGATAAGTAGTGAAAAAATTCCACATCATTGAACTGAAGCATTGGAGGCCTTCCTGGGGGTGCCTGGGGTTACCTCAGCTGCTGCATTTACTCCAGCTTGGATTTATACATTAAGGTATAGGAAAGATGGATATAATTGGGGGAGGGGGAAAGAGTTTCACACACTAGTCTTATAGGATCAGAGGATTTAGAGCTTGAACAGATGTTAGGGTCCAATCCTTTCATTTTACAAAGATGGAAACTGAGGCTTAGAGGTTAAGTGACTTATCAAAGGTCAAACAGAATAAATAGAATTCAAACCCAGACTCTCTACACCCCTTCAAACTTCTATTGATGTTCAAGGACTTTAATTGGCAATAAATGCTCTATGGCAACACGTCACCTTTTCTCTCTCTTATTTTTCTTTTTTTGAAAACTCAAAAATTAATTTCATTCCTATACCAAATTTATCGAGCCACTGATTGAAGTATGATTAGAAGTACAGCATATTGTTTGAGGACAGGGAAGAATGTATTTAACCAGAAACTTGTTCACTTGATCAAGAGAATGTTAAATTAGAATAATAGGGGAGAGAGAAAAATGCCATATGAGGCTGTTAAATCAGAAACCTGGAGGATAGAAAAATAGTAATTGTGGAAGAAATGCACAATAATTTACAAGATAGCCAGAAATGGTGTTTGTAGTGCTACTCATGGACTCAGATGTCTATATAGAAAATAGTATGATTAGAAACAAAGGCAAAGCATAGCAGTAGATCATTTCATTGAGGATAAAAGGAGAGGGCTGCAAGTAGTGTTGTTGTTGAAATATACAACAGACTTCCAGACCAGATGAAGGATATGGATCATACCTTTACAAAATAGATCACAAAAACTGGTACAGAGGCAAGGTATGGAAGTGATGGAGAATTTCAAGTTTCCCAGTCTCTTTTGGGAGTTTTATTCAAATAGAAGTGGAGCATTTGATAAATTCTTTAATGATTTGCCAACAATTGATTTATCAGAAAGTAGAAGAAGTAACAAAGGATACTGCTTCTTTGGGCCTTATTCTGATTTGTGGAATTTGGTGACTTGAATCAGAAATCTGCTATTTTGTACCTGTGTGGCACTTAACATTTCTGAGTCTGTTTCCTCCTCTGTAAAACAAGGGAGTTGGTTTAGATGATTCAAGGTCCTTCCAGTGTTGCATCCTAGGATCCTATAATTTTCTTGTCTTATTTCTCCTCCTCCTCCTCCTCCTCCTCCTCCTCCTCCTCCTCCTCTCCTCCTCTCCTCCTTCTTCTTCTTCTTCTTCTTCTTCTTCTTCTTCTTCTTCTTCTTCTTCTTCTTCTTCTTCTTCTTCTTCTTCTTCTTCCTCTTCCTCCTCCTCCTCCTCTTCCAGCTGCTGTATCTGTAACAGTAAAATGTAAGCTTTTGGGGGACAAAGGCTATTTTACCTTCAACTTTGTATTCCTGTTGCCTAGAACAGTGCCTGTCACATAGTATCTGCTTAACAAAAGCTTGTCCAATTGAATTGAACTTTTAGTTAACTCCTTTGGATCATAAGTTCCAAAGGATTGGCTTAGAGTTATTACGGATCTTAGGAGTCGTCCAGTCTGACCCTTTTATTTTGCAATTGATAAAACTGAAGCCAGAGATGTGAACTGATTTGCTCAAGGTCACATAGGTCATAAAGTAGTAAAGCCAGGATTTGAATACAAATTTTCTGACTCCAAAACCATAGCTCTTTCCAGTATACCATACTTCCTGCAGCTTCTATTACTAAGTAGGAAATTCAGCTTTTTTTTTTCAGTATCTGTTATGACCAGATTCCACCCCCCCCCCCATTCTGCTTCTTTCCATCTCTGGATTATCTGACAATGGACTTAATGCATAGACAAAGCCCATCTTGGTCAGGGGCCCTGGCTGCTTTGATTGACTTCTAACCCTTGAATTTGTTTTTCCAGTGATGACA